TACATCAACAAATACTAGTTAATCTATTCAGCACCATCAGTTTGTAATTTATACCAGTCCAATAATCACACCATAGCCGGCAGAGTTATCAAGCCCACACAAGCATGCAAGAATGAAAATACAGCAAACTGAATAAAATGCAAAGAATTTTTTTTTAAATCCTCGACAGTCACACGAATTGCAATAATTAAACATAGTTATTGATGAATATAGCCAAAATGACGAAATTATGTTCGTGTCCAAGATTATGTCACCCGCCCCCAAACTTAGATAGTACATTGTCCTCATTGTGAAGATGAAATAAAAGTGTAAACAGACATAATTGAAGGACAATAATAAACTTAAGCGTAAGATGGAGTATGAGTACATCCCTGATCAAGATGGAGGTGGTTAATGAAAATTGGGACCAGCAGTACCGTCTCTTGGTGGTGGAGCTGTGACGTTATTTTTGACGGCATCCTGTAAAAGTGTAAAGTATGCGTATTAGTCCACTTGGTGTAAATAGATGCAACTGAGGCAAGAAATAACCTATGTAGTGCACAAATCCCCCAAACTTGCTTCAATGTGTACATTGTTGGTGTACATAATGCATAATTTATGTCTCAACATAGGGTTCATATCACAAAAATGTGAATTACCAACGAAACTTCGCTCAAAACATGCACTTTGTTCAATTTGATACATGACTGATTAAAATAGGACTTCAACCTCATGACTCGTGCATGGTGCATTGGAACTCGTGTAGACCATGCCTAGACTCCATGTGATAGGGATGTATGATTGATGACCTAAAACTATTGATAATGCCAAAAAAAAAATGAAAAGTTCCTAAACTATTGCAAAACGAAGTAAATGAAAGGATAGAAACGTTGGGTTGCCTCCCAACCAGCGCTATTTTATAGTCGATAGCTCGACTTTTAGTACAAGTATGTTATGGCACTTTAAATATGGCTTGGGAGGTCTTGCATAGTTTGCTCAATATGGTCTTGTTCCGTACTGTAGTTATCCTCTGAATTTCATCCCTGTCTTTCTTCAAGTGGTTTGTCTTTCTCTCCTCATCCGTATGGAATCCCACATTAAATGCCTTAATCTCCTTTGAATTGATAAGAACGGATGGAGATTGTACTATATAGGCCTCATGAATGTTTGGCTGTTTCTCCAACTCAAAATTATAGGGGATTCCTATGTCAAGCACTTCAATCTGGAAACAGCTTTTAGGCTCGTTGGGGTATTTCATTGCCTTGAAAACATTAAAAGAGACTTATTCCTCCCCCAGCCTCGGAGTTAATTGTCCTTGCTGCACATCTATGAGGGCTCTTGCAGTAGCCAAAAATGGTTGTCCCAATATGATAGGCACGTCCTTGTCTTCTTCCATATCCAAAATCAAGAAGTCTGCTAGGAATATGAGTTTATCCACTTTGAACAATACATCTTCAATAATCCCTCGTGGATGTGTAAGTGATCGATCAGCTAGCTGTAGAGTTACTGTGGTTACCTTAGGCTCTCCCAATCCTAGTTTCCTAAAAATAGAGAGTGGCATCAAGTTAATACTCACACCGAGATTACACAATGCTTTATCAAAACAAAAATCACCAATTATGCAAGGGACAATGAAACTCCTTGGATCTTTAAGTTTTGGTGGGAGCTTTTTCTGGATTTTGGCACTGCATTCCTCCGTAAGAATTACTGTCTCATGATCCTCCAGCTTGCGTTTGTTTGATATAATATCTTTGAGAAACTTCACGTAGCTAGGCATCTGTAATAGTGCATCGGTTAGTGGGATGTTGATATGGAGCTTTTTGAAGACTTCTAGGAATTTTTTGTACTGTTGTTCCAATTTTTGCTTCTTCAACCACTGTGGAAAAGGAATTGGAGGCTCGTAGGGGTTGACTGTGACTTTGGCCTTATCCTGTGACTTTTTTGAATTTTCCTTTGAAATTAATTCCTTTACAACAGTCTCTTCTTCAGCAAGAGAAGATGTCTCTCCAATCACACCTAGCTCTTGATATGGATTTTAGGCAATTGTACTCCACTTCGAGTTGTAATGGCCTTGGCTTGCTCTTTGGGATTGATTTTTGTGTTACTCGGCAAGTTACCTTGCATTTTACCAGCCAATGCTATGGCCAACTGTCCCATTTGAGTTTTCAAATTTTTGATCGCTGCATTTTGATTTTGAAGTGTAGCTTCGGCTTTCTCCATGAATTTTCCTATCATATCTTTCAATTGTTCTCTTGTTGTTAAAATTGTCCCTATGGCCTATTTTGATTTTTGTTGCTCCAAAAGAAGTTGGGATGCTTCATCCAACTGGGGTTGAAAGTTTCTCCATATTGATTGTGTTGTTGGCATTGTCCCCATTGTGCATAATCTACTCGATCAATTCCTTGCATGAGTATTGGGCATTCCGATGTTTTATGCTCAGCTCCACATTCCTCACAATTGCTCTTCTTAACTTGTGCTGCTTGTGATATGCTTTTCACCTTGTGATACAGAGAGTCAATTTTTGCAGATATTGCTAAATAAGTATCCACCTCATGGACACCAGGAGTTTTCCTTAGAATCGCCCTCTCAGAAGACCACATGGCTGATGTGGTAACCATTCTCTCAAATAATTCAAATACCCCATTAACTGTTCGTGTGGATATTTAGCCATGTGACGCCGAATCCACCATGTTCTTGTGGCATGGAAGTAACCCTGTGTAGAAGAATCGAATTTGGGTCTTTTTATGAAACCCATGTTGAGGGCATTTCCGAAGCATGTTTTTGAATCTGTTCCAAGCTTCATCAAATGATTCGGTTTCTCCTTGACTGAATACTGATATGTCATGTCTCAGCTTCGCTATCTTGGCTAGGAAGAAAAACTTTGTGCAGAATTT